AATAGTTATTAAGCAAGCTTTCGGGTTCAAAAACCCTTCGTCAGGCTAAGGAAGTTTCAGCAGTTGGTGTGTGCTCGTCCTGGATGGAATACATACACTAACTTTTCATTGCAGGAGCCCTCTCATTCTTTGGGCTCTTAATTGATGTTTAACTGGTTTAATGGGGGGAGAACTCTGGATAGAAACATAATAATTGCCATATCGGACAGATGGACCTGTACTCTGACCCGGCATTCTGTATCCCAGTGAGAGAGAGTGGATGCAAAAGGAAAGAGTATTTATGCAGGGCCTGTCCAGACTGATCTGTCCCCTGCCTTTCCCCCAGCAGCTTCCAGCATTCAAATGCCTAGGAAGTCCTCATTTAGATATTATACCTCCAAATGAATCTGCATGAAACTGTCCAGTCTTATTTTGAACTTATTTAATTTTTTGGCCTCTAATGTCTTGCAGCAATGTGTTCCAGAAGTTAATTACTTGCTGTGTGATAACTTATTTTGTGTTTGTTTTCAGATCTGTTACCTAATAACTTCAGGGTATGTCCCTTAGTTCTACTATTGTGTGAGATTTAGTAAATCCCTATTCACTTCCTATGTGCCAAAATTGTATAGAATTCTGTTATTCTCCCTTTCCCCCTCTCATTTTTTTCTTCTAAGCTGAAAAGTCCTAACTTATTTAGTCTCTCACCACAAGAAAAGTCTTTTCATACTCCAGTCATTCTTGTTCCCCTTCTTCGTACCTGTTCTGCTTCTACAGTGTCCTTTTGGAGGCGGGGGTCCAGAACTATGTGCAAGGTGGGCTTACAATGGATTTATAGAGTAGTATAATGACCTTTTCTGTTGCTATTTTTAATTCCCTTCTAAATTCTGAATGTTCTATTTGCTGGTGATGAACAGAAGGCTCATATTCTCCAAGAACAGTGTCTGCAATAATTCCAAGATTTTTCTTGGAGCCCAGGGATCTCTTTAGTCACTTACATCTTCTTCTTTCCCCTTCCCTCTCCTCTCCTCTCTCCCCACACCCCCCCAAGTATACATTACTTTGAACTTATCAGCAGTGAACTTCATCTGCTGTTATGTTGCCCATTTATTCAGTTTTCTAAGATCCTTCTTCAGTTCGAGTTGCCTTCTGGTTTTTACTACCCTGAATAATTTAATCTGAAAATGTAGCTACCTCACTTTCTCTGCCCTTTCCAAATTTTAGCTGATTATGTAAAACAGCACAAACCACTGAGGGTCACAACTGTCTACTTCCATCCATAGTGAGAACTGACTATTTATATCTATTGTTTCCTGTCATTTCCCCAGTTACAGAACCATGAGTGGGTTCACCTCTATTAGCAGGACAGCTCCATTTCATTAACTGCCTTTGTTGCAGGACTTTGTCAAAACCATTTTTTTTTAATTCCAGATGCACTCTGTCAACCGGAGCACCATGATCCATATGCTTTTGAGGCTTTCCATATCTAGTAGATTGCAGTGTAACCAATATTTATTGGTCAAAAGCCATGGTGATTCTTCCTCAGCAAATCCTGTTCATCCATGTGATAATGAACAGTTTTTTGTTTTCCTTTTTTTTAATTACAGTTTCAACCAGTTTCCCAGGGAAAGAAGTGAGGCTTACTATTCTGTAGTTCCCTGGTTCCCCACTAGAACTCCTTTTTTTAAAGATTGGCATTATACTGGCTACTCTCTAGTCCCCCAGTACAAAGACTTGTTTAGCAGTAGGTTACATGCTGAAGTTGGTAGATATGCAATTTAAAGTTTTGAACTTTTTCAGCACTCTTGGGTGAATACAGTCTGGTTCTGGTCCTGCCACTAAATACATTAGCACCAGTCCCTTACACCAGCTGTCTAGGAAAGAAGCTGCCTTAATAGCAATATCTTTTTCACTCTTATAAGAGACTTGCAAACTGTTCATGACCATATTTCCTCCCCTCCCACTGCTTGCCTTTTTTCACAAGGATAAGGTCTCATTTAAATCGCACACAATTTCTCCCAAAGGTGGTGTGGCTTCCAGTTGAAACAAAATGTTCACTTGCTGATTTTTCTTCCTTAAAGCATTCCAATTAAAGTGAAATGAAGTTGTACTCTGGACATATTAAGATCTTTCAACTTGGCACTAAGATCTTTTGGGTTTCATTTAAATTAATGATGGCTTTTGCTGAGAGGATGAAAGGCAGCCATATCTTCCCAAAAGTGGTCAGAATGAATCTCGCTTTATTAGGCTGTTACCAGGTAGTTAGACTAGAACCTCTGAGCAACTTTGGAGAACTTCATCATAGCTCATACCACTTCAGAAAGCAAATCCCAGAAGTGACATCCTCATGTCATAAACTCTGTAAAATAATTACTTGATTCCATACATACATTTTAAAAAATGCTGATACCTGTGTAAAGGCATCTAAGAGATGCCCATTTTGGTAACACTGTATTATGGTTGCTCTAAAGCAGAATGTATTTAAATAGTTACCAAGAGTGGACTACATCTAGACAAATACTAAAAGAAAAAAATTATTACTTTAAAGCAGTGATTCTCAACTTTTTTTTTTTTTTTTTTTTTTTTGCAACAGAGGAATTACCCTATTTTTCTGTAGTCAAAAGTCAATTGAAAACCTAAAAGCTGACACTTTCTGAGAGGTGCCTTTAGTCTAATAGGTTGAGAACAACTGCTTTAGTGTAACCTAGATTATTTGAGACATGGTATCCAAGTGTATTCCACAGCCTGCCCTCATTTCCCTTTGACTTGGAATCCAGTTGAAAAAGGACTCTTTGATGAGGAGCCTGTGATGCCTTTGGCCAAGATCTGCCTTTTTTGGCTGCTGACAGATGTGAAGGAAAAAAACCAACATGCTTTACCAAAAGAGGCAATGCGTTAGTTTAACCTGGCTCCACAGTGTCTGTGTAGATCAGGCACTTCAGTAGGGCTTTTTGGTGCTTTTATCTAATAGCTGATTCAATCAACTATTAGATAGAAGTGACAAAAAAGCCACTCTGAAGCACCTGATCTATACAGATGTTGGGCGAGCTGGGTCCACTAACGCAGTGCCTCTTTTGGGCATGTGCTGGACTTGGCACAGCGGTGTGCAGAGTTTAAAGTAAATCACCAATTATTTTTTTGTGTGTGGGGGTTTTTTTATGCTGGTAAGCAGCCTTAAAGTATAACCTAGCCACATGTTTAAAGCAGTTAATGGTATCATAGAACAAGGAATAAGCCACAAAGTTATTCCACAGAAAATGTGTAACAACTTTGTGGTTAGCTCCTATCATGCCATTAATTGAATGTGTGGCCAGGTGTTCCCTGATGCTGACAACCCACAGCTTAATGGAGTCCCAGCTGTGGGAACTTGCTACTTGCCAGTACAAGGGGAGCCCTGGGATCATGATCCCAGGCTTCTCCTGCACCAGCAGTAAGGCATGATGGGATCTGTTGCTCAGTCTCACAATCACATCTCCTGCTATGCATGTGTAGCATGGCAAGATCCCATTGTACCTTTTATCTGCATATACAGCAGGGATCATAAACACCCTTAAGAACTACAGTTACCATAGGATAATTAGCTTTGGGAGGTTTTTGCTTGCTTGCTTGCTTCTTCTGTTACTCTGCTTTTTATAGTTGAGCAACCCATGACAAGTATAGGTGCACATTCCCATCAACTTCATGTCTAAATATAGTCCACTTACATGGGCTGACAAGTTCCTGGTACCCTCTTCCAAATTTGGGTGGGTACAGGGTTTACCCCTTTTTTTCCCCCCCCCACGGAGCCTACTAAGTTCTGAGGTTTTACTAGCCACATAGAGAAGATGAGAACTAAAACAAAGTGGGAATTTATGGGAAGGAAAACCTGGATAATGTGAATTTTCAAGTCTGTTTCTTTGCAGTAGTATGTGTGTGTATGTGCAAGGTGAGTGAAATGTATAGGTACACATGGCACTGCAAGGAAATGGAGATGTCCTGTCTATCTATCAAGAGAGAAAGATATCTATATCTTTCTTTAGGGGGGTGTATCTATAGATATACATTTCCTTTTCTAAAGTTACACTTGCACGCACGGAAATGCAAAAATCTAGAACTCTTGGTTCCAAAATGATACCTTTAATTAGACCATTTGAGAAATTGCAAAAAAATACATACATATATTTTCCTGCAAGCTTTCAGGCTCATGGCGCCCTTCATCAGGCTCAGGGAAAGTTCAAGATGGTAAAAAGTCCCCATATGTAGGAAATAAATTTCCTTTTTGCACAGAGGAAGCAGAAGCTGGAAAACCTGCTCCTTCCCCCCCTACCCCTCCTGTATATTAGATCTACATATTAAATATATATAGATATAGCGCGCGCACGCGTGTGTGTGTGTGTGTGTGTGTGTGTGTGTGTAACTTTTTAGAAAAGGAAATTTGGTCTGATCTATTAAATGCTACAGCTGCGATTGTTCACCTTCCATCTGGAAAGACTGAACTGATGTCAAAACCCTACTGCTCCTCGGTAGAGTCTAAGGCATTTGTGAATAAAGAGGTTACTGTGAGCGAAAGCATGCACCGGTGCCTCTGAGCATAAATGTCTGTTAAATAAAAAAAAAAAAAAAGTGAGCTTTGCCTTGTTGCAAAAATCTTCCTAAATAAGCGCCTTTGTATAGGACTTAATTCAGCATTGATCTAAGGATGCTGATATGCAAGATAACTGTGGCATCGCTCTCATGTTGTCAGTGAATTTGGGTTTTTATAGTTAGTGGGAAAGTAAGTTTAATTTGGCAATATAATTATATCACTTGAATGCCAGAATATTACATCTGTGACTTACTGCTAGGTAACTTCAGTTATTCAAACTACTTTGCTGGATAAGTTTTTGTATGATTATGCTTGTATGATTCAAACGTTCATTTTATTTTTCTGTTGTTCTAATGTGCCAAAGGCTAGTTTCCTTCTGCCAGTCCACAATTTAGTGACAGAATTTAATTCATGATAGAATTTCACGTTTTATCTAACAAATCTGTTTTTGTATTTGTAGGTATGGGCTAGGAATGATTTATTACAAACAGGAAAAATTCAGCCTAGCAGAAATGCATTTCCAGAAAGCACTTGATATCAATCCTCAGAGCTCAGTCCTACTCTGTCACATTGGAGTAGTAAGTAATTGCCCTTAATTCTGTCCTCCTTCTGCCAGTTTCTTTTGTGCCTAATTTTTTAGGGAAGACTCTGTCCTTATGCTTGTGTCAAAACTTATTTACTTGCAGTCAGCAAGTAGAAACATCTGCACTCCTGCTTGAGCATTGATATTGCCTGTGCTATCATGTGTTTGAGTTATGAGGGTACAAATGTTGTGCTTGTGCTCATTCAGCTGACAAGGGCTTGTGAATACTTGTGGTGTTTCCTAGCCAGTGGGTAAAGGAGGATACCCACCACTAGTCCAAGATTGCTTGTCCTGCTCCCAAACTTCTAGCACCCATGTCACACTTGAGCATTTTGTGTATATGCATGGGTGGAATTGGAGATCTGAGAATCAGGTCTGTACTCAGTTCTGTTGAACTTGCAGATATTTATGCAGACTCTTCATACTGCTGGTACATACCCTCATATTGGCATTTCAAGCTTTTGACTGATACTTCACGGCTCCCCGTTTTGCCGTAATAAGGTTCTGGGTTTCACCTGCCTGAATACCTTCTGTCCACTTCTCAGTCACTTGTACTTTTGATGACTCTTAATTTTAAAACTATTTTAGTAAGCTCTGTAAGTTGCTCTGCACAGTGAAATAGTAGGCAGAAGGTACTGGCTGATGTGTCTAAGACTTTAGTTTAATCAAAACTTAGCTGCCTAAAAATTTGTGCTATTGTTTGTATAGGTCAGTCCCTCTGCCAGTGAATAAAACATACAATAACCACTTGGCAAATGCTCCTTTATAATGCTGCTTTTATATATTGATGATTTGCAGTGTGTGGTCCACAAGTAATTGTGGCAATTGATTATGTAGCCATCAGCTAGTACTGTTTCATCTGCACTATGACAACAAAGGGCATCAAAACCACTTATCTAGCTCCTTTTACTTCTATATTCTAGAATGTGGTGGCATTTTGCAGTAAAAGACACATTACCATTTTTCAGTCTGGCTTAGTAATAAAAGAGTTATTTAGATATTGAGTCTTAAGAATTGTACTTTGAAGGCAACAGATCTAGTCAAGTATATTGTAATAGTCTGGCAAGTCAGATGTCTTCCTAGATTTTCTCTTTAAGTCTATTTAATGTCATCTCTGTTCCACTGTAGGTCCAGCATGCACTGAAAAAATCTGAAAAGGCTTTGGATACACTAAATAAAGCTATTAACATTGACCCCAAGAATCCACTATGCAAATTCCATAGAGCCTCTGTATTATTTGCAAATGAAAAATATAAGGTAAGACATGGATCTTGGAAACTTGAAATCTTGCTCTATTCCTTGAAGTTTGTAGCTGCCTGTGAATGGAGCAGGGGGTGACGTGTAGGGGGTGCACGCGGGTGCATGTGCACCCCCTGCCTGTGGTGGTGCACCCCCTACAAAAAGGTGCCACTGACATCGTCAGCGGTGCCTGTGGGCGGTTGCCGCTCGCCCCCCTGCCGGCAGCACTGCCGTGGTGTCTGCGGGCGGTCCGCAATCCCTGCTGGCTGCGGCCACCACTGCCAGCGGTGGCTGCGGATGGTCACCGACCCTTGGTTGGCACTCACCACTCCCCCCATCCTTCCACTGCTGATGGTGCCGTGGGCTGTGGGAGCTCACCCGCTTACCACTGCCGGGCTCCTGCCGCTCTTGCCACCATGCTTCCACCGCTGCCGTGCGCCCCCCCCCCAGCCACGAGTCATTCATGCAATGAAGATGCATTAGAACAGGAGTCGGCAACGGTTTTGGGTAGACTGCCAAAAACACCTGCAACCTTGATTTGTAAGATGTTGGCATACCATGGCAGAGAGCCAGGGAGCCATGAGGGGTCTGTTGTGGGGCTGTGCTGCCTTGTTGTGGCAGCATAGCCCCAGCCCCTTCCCCACCATCCTCCCCAAAGCCTGCATGCCAAGCAAAATCCTTTTGCATGCCATGCTCTGGCACCTGTGCTGAGGGTTGCCTACCTCTGCATTAAAAGTTAATCAAGTCTTGACTCTAATGGAAGTTGAGACTTGCTTGGAGTGTATTTTATACGATGATCGCTTCGGCTGTTCAAAAGATTTGCCTCTTTCCCCAGTGTAACACTGAAACAGTTATTTGTATGAATGTTATAACTCCTTTGTCTGAAAGGATGGATTTGGTATCAGGAGGTCTGCTTGGTGCTGGGAACTTCTTCCCCTTACCCAAACCTGGCAGTGGGGGAAGGGGGCGGGGACTGGCTCTGGAAATTCTGTAATGGAGAGGCCTCCATTAGAGGCCTCGTGTTCCATTGTAAGGGATACTTACAATATGGCTTCTCTTCAAGTCTACTTAGCCTAGGGAATGCTGGTTTCATATAAGGTTGGAGAAGGCCCTTGATGTATGTTGGACATACACATGGTCATAAAATATTTGGATTGTGCCCATAATCCAGCTATAAAGTGACAGTTGAATGACCTAAGATGACAAACGCTAGAACTGCTTGTGTAATCCCTCCTGAGAACATATCCTTCTTCCCTCTGTGTCCCAAGCCTGGGTCCAAGGATACTGACACTTGGTGTTCTCCTAAATCTTGGCTAGCAGTAAAGAGAATTGGCAGCAAAATGCATGCTACTGAACTTCTTGATTTGGATGTGGAGAAAGTTGTATATGTTATCACTATTTTTTTTCCAAAGGAAATTTCCAGAAGCACTTGGAACATAAAACTCATCAATTAGAATAAAGCATAATTTAACATCTGATTATGAAGATTAAAAACTCATATTCTTAGCAGCAGGCCTTGTGACATGAACTGAGGCAGATGTCCCAAGCTCAAAAATTTAATTATTGGCCAGTGCCATCACCACTGTGGGAGCTGCATCTGTATTAGATGTTTGTTGTTTAAAAGGGCAACAGGCAGACTACTCAAGCCAGAGATATGTGAAATCTGATTTTTTTTTTTTAATTTAGAGAAACTTATTATAGCCTTCTTTAAAATTAACCATATTTGTGTGAGTTTGTACCAAGTTCTTCAAAAATGGTGCAATGACTGTCCCACAAGCAACTGAAGCTGTAGGCCATCAGATAAGAGGAAGCTGGACAACTTGGATCTGACTTCATTATCTTGAGCCATGTAGAGATGTTTATGCTTGTTTAAAATGTTGCTCTCCTTCCCTTACTGTCCTGTCTGGCTAGCTGGTAGGCTAATCTTCTTTCTTGTCTTTCTTGACAATGTAAGACAGGTCAGTCTGGTTTTATTGAGACCTTATCTGTACACACATACAGAAGGAGAAATAATTGCACCAATAGGGACTTGCATCTGGAATTTCCCAAGTGTGTTACAACATGTTAAGGTCGGACACAATACTTCAGTAAGTTCTTGAAATAAAATTTGAGTAGGACAAATACAAACTGGATTGCAGGAGGAAGTCCTAAGGGGGCTCGAATATAACAAATCTCAGGCCATCCAGGACTCAGTCCTATACTATCTGTGGTTTATCCATTATACTTTCATAGTGCAGCAGTCTGACATGACATCTGTTAAGTCATATACTGCAACATGAAGACTCCCCAGACTCTCTCCCACATAGACAATTTTGGATGAACAGGTGGAATTCATGGGTTAGAGGAATCTTTACTGTTGTTTTATCATTGTTCAGGATAATTTGCTCATGGTGATATTTTTTTTTTTTTTCCTGAATTCAAAATGAAAACTTTTTGTTTGAAAAATAATTTTTGGATTGGCATTAGGCCTTTAAAAATACACTGTGCTATATTTTGTAAAGTATTTTGACTTTAGATCAGTCATTTTGTGGCTGGGGTGCTATGAGAACCTGTTGGGGTGTCATGATGCCAGCTGTGGCCAGGTGAAACTAACATTTTCCAGGAACCACACTGGAGCCAAACTAGAAAGCAGCTGTGACAAGTGGATGCTGCTGCTTCCATTGGGTTTATCTAACTCTAATGCAGACCCAAGCTCCTGCTCCTGCATAGTCCTTCCCAGTCTGATCCCACACACACACCTCCTGGAAACTGAGTCATGGAGGACCATTCCATCAGGTAGCAGAGGTGGTAGCTGACAGCTTCGAGTTGAGCACCTCTGTTGCACCACCTGCGTTGCCCAGTAGAACTGTTCGCTTCATTTCCAGGAGGTACATGTGGGGCTGAACCAGGAAGGGCTGTGGCATGAGGCAGGGTGCCTGCCTGGCTTAGGTTTATGAAATAACCTTAATGCAGGCAGGTATGTGCATGCGTATCCCTTTCCAATCTGGTTGTACGCAAGGCACTCTTTTTACTTGGTGGTGACAGCAGCACCCTGGTTGAAAAGTGAAGAAGTAAGGTGGGGCACCACAACAGTGGTTCTCAACCACCGTGATGCCAAATTAAAAAAAGTTGTGGAGTGGTGCCCTGACTCTCCTGCTTGAGATATGAAAAGCAAATTCTTACTGAATTTTGTATTTTAAATTTCACTAGTATTCGTTTTATTGTTTTTGTTTGTTTTAATTTGAATATAAGCAAAAAAAGAAAAATGGGACAAAGGCCTGATCCTGCAAACACTTAAGCAGGTACATAACTTTATTCGCATGAATAGTCTCCATTAACTTCAGTCAGATTATTCATAGTCAAAGCTAAACTGATGCATAAGTATTCACAGCATCAGGAGCCAGAAGTTGAGGTTTTAATCAAATTAACTTTTTGCAATTTTGGTACTTCAGAAGAAGAAAATTCCTTTGGTGTCAACAGTAAAGAAGGGTATGAGACTAGTGTTTTGGTTCTGAGATTTTTGTTCCCTTTTAACTTTCAGTGTACATTCACAGTATAGGCCACTGTCTCTTTGAATGCATCTAAAACCCCGTATTTGCTATAGTAAAAGGGTATTTTCAAAAGAGCCTAAGTTAATTTTTAAAAGCATAAATCCTAATGCAAAACATTTTTAGTTTTCTCAACTTTTGGAAGAGCAATATATTGGAAGTGTTTGCAGTGTGCGTAGTCTCTGCTTATTATAATTTGTTATCATAGTAAGGATCTTGAAACTGTGGGGATCACTTTTCTTGGCACAGATCCACATTTTGTTTGAAATGTCTCAGAAGCAAAATGTTTATGTAAAACCTGAAGTTCTAATAATTAGGAATCTAAAGAAGTTCAAAACATCCACTTCAATCTGGAACTGTGAAAGAGAAGAGGGGAGGGAAAAACCAAAACTAGCTACCTGGAAACAAAGGCCCCTGGCAGACGTTACACTTAAGATGTGATTAACTGGTTAATTATGTCTTTAGTAACCCAGCCACATGTTAATGCAGTTAATGGTGCAATAAAGCAAGAAATAAACCACAATTTTTTTACACACAATATGTGTAAACTCTTGTGGCTGATTCCCATTGCACTTTAAATTGAACGTGTGGTCAAGCATCAGTTGATTGGGGTTCTTAGCCTTGGTAGCACATGGGAGTCTTTGACTCCCATGTGCCCCTGAGGCTGGGAGCCCCAATAAACTGACTGCCACTCCCTGCCTTGGGGGTACATTGAAGCCAAGGGCTCTGGTGTGACCCCAAAGCTGGGTCCTGCTCCCAGCTTTGGGAGGTACACCAGAGCCCTTAGCTTCAACGCATCCCTGAGGCTGGGAGTGACAGTCAGCTGTTCAGGGCTTTGAGTCTCAGGGCTGTATCAGAGTCAAGGGCTCTGATGCACTCCCAAGGCTAGGACTGGTAGTCAGCCGATTGGGACTCCCAGTCTTGGGAGTGCATCAGAGCCCTTGACTGGGATGCACTCCTGAGGCTGGGAGCACTGATCAGCTGACTGGCTTGCTACTTGACAGTACAGGAGGAGCCCAGGATTATGATCTTGGGTTCCCCCCCTGCACTGAAAACATGGCTCAATTTGGGATCTGATCCCAGATCCCATAACTGTCTCGTGTAATGTGCCTGTAGCATGGCAGGAGGCACAATTGTTGGTGAAATGCATCAGATTCCATCACATCTTAATTGAGGGTCTACCAGGAGCCAAAGATTTTACGTTCTAAAGTTCTGTTTTTAAGCATTACTTTCATAAACCCTGTGAGTTACTTAAAAACATATTTTATATTTGTAGAGTGTTGGTTCACAGAGAAAATTAACTTTGCTAGGTTAAAAGTTAGCTTTTATGGTGTCATGGTTAACAAGATAAACTTCCATAGTTTGGGTGGGAGAGGTTTGGAGGGAGGTAAGATTTTTTTTTTTTTTCTTTTTAATTGACTAGTTTTATTTGTCTCTATGGGATTGATTTATTACAGCCCTGATTCAAACTTGCTGAGTGTTTTTTTTTTTTTTTTTTTTTTTTTTTTTTTTTTATTTTCTCTTTCAGTCTGCTTTACAAGAACTTGAAGAACTGAAGCAGATTGTTCCCAAAGAGTCACTTGTTTACTTCTTAATAGGAAAGGTAAAAACTGAGTATAGTTCCACGAAATGCAACTAATTATAAGCCCCTTGGATTTCCTTTATTGCATGGAAATGAGCCTATATATTAATTTTCCTGTCACCACAAAGCTGTATCCATTTTGGCCAGTCTTCTGAAAGTCCCCATGCAAGTCTCACCATATATAAATTAGCAACTGTATAAAGATTTCTATTTCTTTTATTGTTGAAGCTTAATTTTGTGAGCCAGAAGCATCTTTTATACCTGCTATGACTACATTACTGTCAATTTAACTTAACGGACAACTTGTTCTAAAAACCATGAAAAAGGTTAATGTAAAATCCCTCTATGAAAAACAGATGCATGAGTTTGTGTACAGAAACATTGTACCTTTCACTAAAAATGAGACTGCAGTTTCAGAATTGTGGTCAGTACAGTCCATGTAGGATCCTACCTAGCACCTCACCTCTGTACAACTTAGGTTAAAGAATGACTATCCCCCGTATCGGACACGTCCATGCAAATAGATACGTATTTGCAGAGATGTAATCAAGCCATTTAGTGTCAGTTGAAAATGCTGAACAAAACATTTGCAAAATTCTGTAGATTTCTGATGCATACAGAGTAGAGGAAACTTCTTGTTTCAGCCAAAAGTTTCTCAAAAACAGTTGTCTAGAATAAGGTCCTTTTACTTGGAGACATTGACTAATAAAACTTTGCAGAGGTTTTAACTTGCAGACATGGGGAACCTCTGGGTCTTGAGTGCTTGACCACTATGACATGCTGTGATGCCTTTCGCAATAGCCACTAGCAAAGTGAAGTCTGCGCAAGTTAAAACTTCCTGCCCTGTGAATTTTTCTTGCTCACTTTGAATCCTTTCATAATGTTCCTGAACTAAGTCTTGGAAATCAGAGGGAAGTCTTTCAGTTTCCTAATGTAGCCACCAGCAGTAAAAGTTGCTGATTTGTCTTTAATAAATATGCTTCTAGTTGACCAAAATCTTGTATTTTATATGCTGCTTAGTGTGTGACTTTTCAAAATGGATGCAGCTTTCTTTTAAGTTTGCTGTTTTTTTTTCTCTGATGGCTTTGCTCTTCCTATACAGCAGGGATTTATATTGACCTTTCTACCTTTTTTTTTATGCTTCGTTTTACTTGCCATTTACAGATCACAAAAACCTTCCTTCTGAAAAATGTAATAAGTAATATCCTGATCAAATGCAGAAAAGGGGATTTGCAGATTGCCTCTAGGTTGTCTTTTCTAGATCAATAATTTTATATTAAAAGAGAATGCAATTGTAGAAAAAGGTGCCAAAGTACTTGTTCTGCTGATTAGTCTTTGATAAAGAACATGCAGCATGGGCAGCAGCAGTCACAAATATGCCTCAGCTCTTTCTCCTTCTAATGTGGACACATACCTGTCTCCTAAGAAACGGCCTGAAATAAATCTGTCTCCTTTAAAACATTACCTAGCTGTTAAATGTCAGTGCCTTTGGTCCCTATCAAACAGATGAATTTTATGCAGTTGTTGATAGTATTCTTTAAGCCATCCAGTACCATTTTTTGGCATCTATTTCTATATAAACAGTTACCATATTTTTAAAAATGTAATTTTATATCCTTATTTTTGTTTAAAAGCTTGTCTTGGGTCTCTAACATACCAGCAACACTTAAGGGAAAACTATGAATAGGGATCTACTTAATCTGGGATTTTGCAGATTTCAGAGAAACCGCAAAATCTGCAATTGTCCACAATATCAACTTAAAAAAAATACTTAATAAAATGTGGCTCCTCAGTGGGAGCCAGTGGTCCTCGGTGCCTTGCAGCCTGCCTAGATGGGGAAGGTGCCGGCTGACAGGGTGGCATGGATGGTAGCCAGCAGCCAAGATGGCAGCCAGCCCCTTGTCCCTTCTTCCCCCAGGGCCTCTCTCCCAATCGGCAGCAAGGGGCAGGGCTGCTGGGAAATGCCTGTGAAATTGGCTTTTCGTGCTGTAACCAAGCCACGAAATTCGCAGCCAAACAAAAGAATTTAAGTAGGTCCCTACCTATTGGGTGTGAAACATGGTCATGAAGATGATGGAGACTGGTTTAATTGTATTGGATTTTCTAATGCAGGAACGATTGTCCTGCAGATTGGTCACCTCTACTAGAGGAGAACATTCCATGTACTTCCATTTAGTCTGCCATTTTTCACGTGCCAGTAGGACTTCTGAACATGAGTGGCCATTAATCTTTGTTTTGTAAATCGCTATTGGATAACATGTTGTCAAGTAGCAACTTAATAGAAAAGGTAGTGTTATCATTTTTATTTTTAGGTTTATAAAAAATTGGGTCAAACTCACTTGGCCCTGATGAATTTCTCATGGGCAATGGACTTAGATCCCAAAGGAGCCAACAACCAGATCAAAGAGGCTATCGATAAACGCTATCTTCCAGATGATGAGGAACCAATAACTCAAGAAGAGCAGATCAGTGAATGCTATCCATATGAGTCAGGTTTGTATTTCCAGTTCATATTGCAAATAAACATTTTTACTAAGAAACCAGCTAATGTTAATGAGTAATTCAGAATCCCAAATTTAATAATTTGAAGGTGCCATATATCTGTCAACTTCAGTTTTCTTTAGTAATCAACTAGGCTGGGTTTCCTTGTAATAAACACTAGGGGTGCACCGATTTCTTTTTTTTTTTTTTTTTGACTGATACCAAAAGGCAATTATTAACCAGCCATGTTGGCTGATACCTATCCCATTACTGATATGCAGCCCAGCAGCTTGGAGAGTAGCATCCAGCCAGTGAGTCTGTGGAGAGGAAGGGTTCAGGGGTGGGGGGGCAATCAAGGCATGTGCCCCCCCGATTTGCACGCAGGGTGAAGGAGGCTGTCTGCTGCGGGCTTGAGGCTAAGGGCTGTACTGGCCTCTTCCTGACGGGGGGTGTACACTTGGGGTGGGCACTGGCAGCGCTGGGAGAGAGGGCTATGGGGTGGAGGGAATGCAGCCACCCCAAAGTTTGCCGTAGCCCCCCTTTCGGTGCTGCTGCTCACTCTGCCCTGAGTGCAGCCCTGGCCCAGCTCCTGCAGCAGGCAGCCCACCCTCACCCTGCACACACATCCGTGGGGCACATGCCCCCCATGCCTTCCCCGGGGGTGCACACTGTGGCAGGAGCCCCATCCTACCCTGCCCTGCCCTGGCTGAGCAGCCCCTGCCCAGCCCCTACTCCCTCCATCACCATAGGGGCCTCAGTCTGCCCCCCGCATGCCCCTTCCCTCCCCTATGCCTCTTCGTCCTCGCCCCATCTCCCCCAGACTTACCAGCTGGATGCTGGTGTCCAAGCTGCCGGGCTGCATTCCTTGCTGCATGCATGCTGCGGCATTTACTGGTGACAATATTGGCCACATCGGCCAAAAAAGCTGATTTGCTGATAACATCAGTTTTTCTTTTATCAGTGCCAATATGATATGGACCAGTATATCAGTGCACCTCTAATAAACACTTGAAGAAAGAACTCTTGAGAGAATTTAGGTGTTAAACTTGGATAAAGTTATCTTTTGGGGAGGAACAGAACCTAGTTGTCTAAACTACTTTTACAATAAGCAAGGATTTATATAAGTGCTGTTAATATTGTCTTCTATATGCTGTACCCTGAAAGGGACATCTGATTCTTCCATTGGTCACCAAGGAAATAATTGAATTGTATATAAAGGCTCAAAATTTAAAAGTAATGACTATAAAGCAAAGGAAAGTTTAGGCTGGATATCAACAGAAAATACTTCAGTAGTGCTAATTTCAGAGTTAAACAGATATCTCTGGAGGACAGTTATAGAAGCCATGCCATTATTTTGAAACTAAACAGAATACAGCCCAATAAATACACCTTTTGATAATAATTTAGCTTAGAGACTAGCTTAGGTTTCTGCCACCTGACTCTCTTTGTTTTTAGCTTTAAACTCTCAAGATATGTTGGTGGCTGTATTGACTTCCTTAACACAGACACAGATCAGTAACATGCATGGACTGCCACCAAAAAAAAAAAAAAATCCCTCAAAAGGTGAAAATGTTACATACAGATATTAAGCTTTTAATTTGGTGTTGAACACTTACCAAATTGGTCACTTGTGTGTACTGACTTCAGTGACCTTATGATCTTACTGCATTTTTATCTTATTTTTAATGTTCATCTTGTGAAACAAACTTTTTTTTCTATTATAGTCTACACAGGTCACTTAAATAGTTTTTTATGCCTGTCCAGCAGATGGAGATGGAATACTTGAAATGTTGAGCTGTGACTTCAGTTACTAGACATAAGCACTCCAGTAACTTTGTGCTGTTGGACAGATTTAGGATCTCTACTGAAATTTAAAAATCAGAAATGTCTTCTGACTCTAGTCACTTTATTTAAAAAAAAAAATCTAATCTTTCTGGTTGTGCAGATAAACTTGTAATGTGAACCAATGCAGTGTAGTCTTTATGACTACCAAGAGACTGGAAATTTGCTTCTAAGCTTTAAACTTTCTAAGATTCATCTGTCGTAAGTCCTTGAGCCAGCAGGGACTTCAGAGGTTGGTTTGTGTGTTTTGCAGAAGTTGCTCAAGGAGACTTTAAAATAAGGTGATTTTAGGTGGGGGGGGGGGACTTTTTGGTATTTTATTATTTTGCAACATGTACATTAGAGTACTTTCTTTCTTAACTCTTTAGCTCTCATTAGGCTTACATGGGTCATTGTAGGAGACGGTAAGAACAATTATTTGAAAATAGAAAAGTTATACAATATACGGGATCAGGAAGTGTAATCCAGGGATATAGGGTAGTATATTAAATGGTACATTAGAACCTTCTATCCAAGGTATTCATAAGGTATGATAGAGCCTGCAACTTTCACAAGTGATTGTGTAAAATGTACATAGCTCCTGCAAAAAAGACTAATCATATTTGTGTTCTTAAAGTTGGCACAGATGAATCCCAAGAGAGCAGCATGACAGATGCAGATGATACACAACTACATGCAGTTGAAAGTGATGAATTTTAACTTCCAAAAGCCAGTATCTGAGCTTCAGTGTGTGACTGGTACTGTTGTGTTCTCCCCTTCCTTCATATACTGGGTCTTCACCTCACTGAGCCAGCATTGTCATTATTCTTCACTGACACCATGAGTGCACCACTCTGACTTCAACTGTACACAGAATGAATGGCAGTGCAATATTCAGCTGCTACTGAGTCTGACTAGTTGGCTCTTGTACATTTATGGAAATGACAATTTGAGGAGGAAAGACTATTTGGACTCCCCTTTACTGGAAAACTATCATGGAGGAAAGACATGTGTTTTGCTGTAAGGGAGCCAGTAGATGTGGGGATAGTACTAATGAAGCAGTTTCTTGTTCTTTCTCCAGAAATGTGTCTTAGTTTGGTTCTTTCTTGGTAAGCGGAGTGCTGAACTTCATTTCCAAGTTCTTCAAGGACAGTGTTGAAAAGCGCAGGATGGGACATGTTAAAGACTTTTGCATATTGCAGTGTAACTTAAACACCAGGGAATTTAAATGACCTTAGAGTCATCGTGTCTCCAGTGAACAAAAGTAACACACGTGCTCAGGACTTGGAGTATGTCAGAATATATAAAATACCCAGTGTTCCTAGGGAAAGCATAAAATTGCTTTTAGCCAATGGGCCATGCTGCAGAATTGCAAATTTCAAAGAACGCTTTTCTGTTCTAACCAAGAGTTAATTTATTCATCTACTTTCCAAAATGTCAACTGTTGTCTACTTTAGAACTTGAGAGAAACAAGTCAGTAACATGTTTCCGCCTCTTCACATGCCCCTTGATTCTGTCCTAACACTCAACAAATAACAGTTCAACTTTAAGAGCAAAATCAAGAGAGACCTGTAGATAGAATTGTAATGTAGAAAGGATAAACTAATAAATTACAGTGACTACTTTGTTGCTAAGTAGGTAAAGAAGCCAGAAAGACAGCGGAAGCCTTAATACAATCAGAACCTTACAGTAAGATGTATCAAATATTTGTCCAAGACAGTATCCTTTTAAAACTATTTTGTAAAAGTGTTGTTTGAGCAGAATGCAAAATGTGCAATTATCCTTTTTCTTTTTTAAGCCATTCCTTAAGATTCTTGGAGTACACTTTTCGCTCTAACTATGTTAGTAGGAATTTAACCCCCCAGAGGCTATTTCTGTGAGAAGAAAGCTACACTGTGGTAAGGACTCTAAAGTGATCTTTTTCTGTAGCATTCTACAACAAAGATTGGTGCCCTTTATGCAGTGATCATAAAGAAAGTGTATGATACAATGTAGCAGTTTTAAAGAGCAAATTTATGCACAATAAATTGGGAATTATTTGAATTTCACAGCAGCATACTTGTTGTGATCAGTCTTAAAATGTGTTCCTTAACTTTTTTTTTCTTTTTTTAAAATGTATATTACTAGAGAGCCTTTAGTTACCAATAGTAGATCTTTAATTTTTTTAAATTTTTTTAATGTCCTTGTCCTAGAGTGGTACAAAATGTCCTATCACACCTATTGTTTGGTTGTGAGATGTATGGACACTATTTTGTTTATCAGAAAGAGAAAATTTACAGACCCTGTACAATAAATATCATTCTCTATGACTGAGTGGACATGCATTGAAAAAAATAAACTAAACTCCCCTAATGGTAAAGAAAAACGTGAGCTATAATAACGAATGAAACTGTCATGCTTCTGTCATGCACTTCAAATATCTGTGTCTGGAAGTAGACAAAATCCCCTTATAAATCATGTAGGGGTTTCGGCTGAGTAAGGTATACTACATGCAAGACTTGTTTTAGTGATGGAAAAGTATTTCAGAAGGACTCTTCTCTTGTCTGATGATCCCTCCTTTAAGAAGACACCAGTGTAGAAAATCCCCAAGGGCTAATCTGCATCTATAGTAAAGTATATTCACATGCTGTTCCTACATAGCATTCATTAAGGTGCCTCTATAGTTACCTTGTCTTCTCTCTTAGTCTTAAAGCAGCTCTGCTCCTTAAGGCTGGGATCCACACTTACTTCGTAACTCATCCTTGTGAAAACTAAGCATCCATTTGTCTGGAGGTGCAGTCTGTGCGCAAAATAGCTACAGTGTGTAATTGGTCACTTTTTTGGATACTCTCAGAAGTTTACATTTGCTAAACAAAAAGCAGAAATCCTTTCCAAAGCCTATCTACTGATGAGCTGGAAAATTCTGGTTGAAGCCATTTAAATCTGGTTGTTTTGATTAACAGGACATGGACAGTGTTTGAAACCCCAAACTTAATTTGATAAGCTTCCTTGTTTTGAAAAAAACATATGCTACTTGGAGATTTTCCCTTAAACAATGCCGTTTGCTTAACTGCAAGCTACAGATGGGGAGGAGAAAGCAGAGGGAACACTTTGAATTGAATTTGGGGGAAGGGGTGTTTTTGTTTTTGTTCTTACAATTTTGTTTCTTTAAAAATTGCGTGAACTGTTGTACTAGAGTTCACTTTGTAAAATACCCTGCAAAGGGCTCTTAACTCTGAGACAGGATTTTAAAAGGATGCTATTTCTAATTTGAACATTAGTACTTAAAATATTAAATTGTCCCCTTCTTTATTTGTACTTCATCACTTGAAAAAAATAAATTTAAGATTTGCAAGTAACATTTAAACCATGCTGCTATCATCTAAACATATGTGAAAAAATCAGTATTTAATCCATAAAAATATGCTCTCTTGGAGGGGAGAGTAAGCATGACGCACTCTGACAGCCAGATTAGAGCAAACGTGTTCACTAAAAAAATAGGGAAGTGTCTTTTTTTCTTAATATAAAAACATGAAAAAGCAAAGCGTGGGTGTGGTGTGTACTATTTTGCATTGAAACAATGTAATTTTTGTCTTTTCCTTTTTTGCTTTTCCTGACTTTTTATTTCAGAAATTGTACAGTCTTAGAAAAAAGTCTTTTCTGTTAATATATTTGCGATTCATTAAAGGATGTGGAAAATCCAAATAAACTACTTTTAAAAGCAGTTTTATAAGCAGGGGTGTCTTTAACTCCTTTTAAATCAGACTGCCAAGAAGCAGATGAGCTTCTCACTAATGGAGCAAGCCCTCTGCATGGGAGTAGTCTTGCTGAGTTTGTTGTGGGGACTACTACACATGAAGTGTTACCTGGATTGGACTGGACATCTGCTTTGGCAAGAGAAAACAAGAATCGTTTTCTCTCTTGGGGCAGGGGGTGGAGGGAGGGAGGTTGGTACTCTGTCGCTTTCCATGGCTGCCATTCACTCTGTTCAGGAAACAGGTATAATATCACTAGCAACAATAAGAGGTTGGGGTTTTTTTAATACCAACAACAGCACAACCCTCCTTCTCCTTTCTCCAAGAAGGCCCACTTGGAGAGTGAAGAAAAGTTGATCTTTTTGCTTACTCTTTGACTTATCTGAGGGTTGGTCTACAAGTATGTGGCAATGGAACTTTGTACAAATACTTGAATGAAGAAATATGCACAAGCTGTATTAGTCTGATACAGTGGATAGAGGCACTACTAGGTGATTTATAGTGACCTTTTAGTTGTTGCCATGTCTAGTAGTATACTGCTGACAGTGACTTATCCTTTTTGGCTAGGTATCAGGTTAGCAGTAGTGGATGCAGCCTTGCAAGTGATGGCTGCTGCTCTTCAGCCCTAAGACAAATATGGTAATTACTGGTCTGATGTCAGGGAGCAGAAGAAATTTTAATATCGGCTGAGGAGGGAAGGGAACCCAGATCAAAACAGTGAGTAGTCTTCTAAAACAACCCATGTCTTGAAACCATGTGAAAGACCTACACAAATGGGGGAGCAGTGAGTGAACTAAGTTGTCAAAGGCACAATATAAAATTGAAAATAATTTTCTTGACCTCTAGTGCAGTACCACTGGGTGTTTATAACATTGTCTAATACTAGGTGGTCATTTGTACAGGCATATCAAGTTTGTTTGTTTTTATGAAGGGTTTTTTTTAATCTTAACTAGTGACAGTAATCTTTACCCTGCTCATTTTCTTATGTATGTATTTGACTTCCAATTTTCTGCTAAATGGAAGAACCAAAATGGATAATTAAAAAAAAAAAAAAAAATTAATTCCCAGTGGGACTGTTTACATGAGATGCTTTACTGCACAGCAGACTAATTGACTGTGCAGTAAAGTGTCACCGTCTACACATGCAGACACTTACTGCACAGTTAATTAGTCTACTTCATGGTTAATTTGCTACCTGCAAATGCAGATAGAAAATTAACTGTGCTGTAGTTACTGTGCGGTAGTGCATATGTAGATGCCAACCAGAAGCAAATTTGCTCCTGGTCAGCCCCACTACCAGGGGGCTACCCAAGGCCCATGGGGCTTAGAGCTTCTTCAGCCCCAGGGCTGGGTGGCTCTTTGCCTGCCCCATCCTGGCTCTTTATAACGCTGCAGTGATCCCGGGGCCCTGAGCCACCTACAGCCAGCCTCTGGCCCTCAGGTCCCAGAGCAGTGGCCCCAGGCCAGATGCAGCAGCCTGCACTGGTCCCCACACAGTCCCACCACCTGCCTGCCTGTCCCACACTGTCTCTGCACTGGGTACTACAAACATCTGCCCAGGCCTGCCAGCACCTGGACTGTCATGGCCCCTGAGGACCATCAAGGGAGCCATGCTGGCGTCATCCCTGATGCCAGCACTGCCTCCCAGGGGTGGAACTGGTCTCAGGAAGAGATGGCCTGTAGGCACAAGGCCAAAGTCCTGAGCCAGTTTGCTCAGAGCAGGCACTTCAACACCCATGTCTGAGGGCCTGTCAGACCTCATGGAGGAGCGCAGGCACGACCAGTTGGCACGCTAATGCCGCAGAAACTTCAAGGCCCTGCGGGCACAGTGGGCATCACCGACCACAGTAGCTGGTTGGGGGTTACCCACAAGACTATACCATTTATGCAGCATCTCGATCAGATCCTCATGCCCCAGGACCCTGAATGGAGCCACTGAAGGCAGCCTGCCCAAGCTTCTGCTGGTGGCCTGGCAGCCGTGAAGAGGTATCATCAGCAGGGGAAGGGCCCCTTGGGGCACCAGGAGCCCATCCTGCTGCAGTCCCTGCTGCCAGCATCATCCAAGAGCCCTGGCAGCCCGAGCCAGTGCTTGTTCTGCCAGCTCTTGAGTGCACAGCTCTACCCATGAGGCCATCCCAGCCATAGCACCACCTGCCCTCACTCCAGCTCCTCCCCAGAGGGAACCCCTTCCCAGGCAGCCAGGCGCTGTGCCCCTACACCCCAGAACAACAGCACTGGGAGCCATGCATCATCACCGCCAGGGGGGACAGACTCAGACCACTGGGTGTGCCTTTCACACCTACCAGGTAAGCTCTGCACTGGGGGGAGGGCCTTCCTTGCCCCTGCCTGGCTGAGCCCCCCCTGGCTCCTGGAGTTCACTGACACAGCATGGAGAGAGGTGGAAGGTAGTGCAAAACTTTGAGCAGCCTGTGCCCCCTCAGCCAGGCAGGCACAGACCTCTCGTATGCAGAGAAATGTCAGTGCCAGCAGCGATGTCATCCTTGGCTGCAGGGGGCAAGGACATATAGCATACAGGTACCCTTCCAGGCAGTGACAAATGTGGGGCAAAGCAAGATTTCCTGCCTTGTTTTCAAACCTCAGAGTCCTGTGACAGTTTCTCAGGTGTACCTGGGGCACCATGGCAATCAGCAGAAGCAGCAGGGCATAGTGGGTTGGGTATCCCTCAGTCTGTGCAAACAGCTCCTCGTGGCAGACCTGGGACACTCTCAATAGGGACATGCTCGGGACATAGGGTAGGTGTGGGGGGCGACTCCAGGGTACCTTTCTGGAGAGGCCCCCTGGAGGGAGGGCAGGGATGCCACCAACTCTGCATCGCAGTTGTCCAGAAGCTGCCTGTGCACTGTGGGCCTGGTAGCAACAGAGGAGATGGCCTGGCCTGTGTGGGAAGTGGGTCTAGAGTCCTGGCAGCTTATGGTGCCAGGAGCCAGACCTGTCCAGGCCTGGGAAAAAGGGAGGGGAAGGTATGTTGTGGCAAGCACCCAGCAGTCCACCTGCCTTTGCGGAGTGAGCATGGATGGGGAGCTTGGCTGATGGCCACCTGTGCCAGGCCCTGCCCCGCCAACTTACCATGGTCCTTGGGCACATGTGCACACATGACCCCCAATCTGAGGCCGGGCACCACACAGTCCCCTGGGATAGTGCATGTTATCTTAGAAATGTTGCAAACTCTCACAAACAGCCTCTTTCTCCTAGCTCTGCAGGCTGAGCAGCTGCACACAGGGGACAGGCACCAGCTGCGTGTGAGGATGCACCTTTAGGGTCACCGCCAACCTTGTCCAGGGCCCTCTGTACGCATCAGCTCTGGCAGTGGTGAACTGAGGACCAGACCTAGCTCCTGAGTCAGCTGCTCACCATGGCGGAGGAGTGGGCCTGACTCATGAAGGACATGATTTGAGCAGGAGAGGGGCTAGATGGACCAGGAGTTCTGGGACAGGCTCCTGGCCCTTGTGGAGAGACACGTGGAGGCCCAGGAGCGGCAGGCTGCCATGATTACCAGGGTAGTGGAGGCCATGAAAGAGGACAGCCAGGTGCTGGAGTGGACACCATTCTGGCCCTGGCGGTCACCTTTGTGTAGCCCGCTGCGGCCCCCACCAACCAGCCCCCCCACCCCACCCCCACCCTGGGCCCATTTATTCTGGCTTAATGAGGCCCCAGAGCAGGAGCTGCCTGCTGCAGGGCTAGCACTGTGCATGAGCCTTGCTCACCCAGCCCATTGCCTGTAAGAGCTGGCTGCTGCAGCAGAGCAATGGCTGCCCTCACCCCCAGATGAGCCCCCTGCCTGCCAGCCTCATCATCACAACATATGCACCACAGGTGCAGTCAGGCTAGGGTGCTGGGTACCTGTCCTTGGGCTCCATCTTGCTGCCCTCACCCCACTGCTCCCTACCTGGGAAGGGCACACCTAGCACACTGCATAGTCTGCACAGGGAAGAGGGTGCTTTATTGGTGGTGAGGGGTGGTTGGTGGAGGGGCTTTATGGGTCAGAAGGGAGTGGGGAGTGGGGTCTGTTGTGGGGAGGGAGGGAAGAGGAAGGGACTCTGGGGTCGAAGGGGGGATGGGGGGTCTATGTTTGTGAAGCGGAATAAAGTGCTTTTCTGAAAACTCTACGGTGAGCATGGTAGTGGGGTCCAGACAGCGGGGAGTTCAGGAAGAGGTGGTCCACCAGCGCCTCTCATACCCAGTGCCTTACCCCTCAATGCCCATTGCTGTTGCTGCCACTGTAACTGGCACACCTAGTCCTCTCAATGTGCCTCCTTCACCCAGGTCTTGTGGAAGAGCTCCCCCTGGGCCTTGCAGATGTTATACAGCATACAGACTACGATGATGATCTGGGGGATGTTGGCCTCCATGACCTTGAGGTGGGCTATGAGGGTTCACAAGCACTCCACCAGCGTGCAGGTGTGGCCCAGGCCCCTGTTAAAATGTGCCTGACAGGGCTTCAGCTGGCTGGCGTAGGGCTGCATGGGCCAGGGGAGTAGTGGGTAAGCAAGGTCCCTGATAAAGGGCCTGCCTTACCCAGCTGGAGGTCTGGCACCCCTGGCATGAAGTACCTGCCTTCCACCAGGACTGGCAGGGCGGAGTTGTGGAAGACATGGGCATTGTGGGTGCTGCCTACCCAGCTGGTACTCATGTTGGTGAAGGTGCTGCTGTGGTTTACAATGGCCTGGAGCACGATGGAATGGAAGCCCCACCAGCATAGTAGGGGCGGTTGCCATGGGGTGGGCAGGTGACCGGGATGTGGGTCCCATCAAGGGCCTAGAAGCACTGGGGGAAACCCAGGGCACAGACCCTTGTCACCACCTCCAATAGGTCCTGCACTCAGAATGCAGTGTGCCTCAGCACATCTTGGATGGCACCACGGACTTCCAGGGCAGCCTCCCCAGTGGTCATCTTGCCCATGCCGAAGAGGTGACCAACATACTGCAGGCTAGTGGGTATGGCCAGCTTGAACAGAGTGATGGCCTGCT